GAAGCCAGTAGAGCAGAGACACAGGTAGTTCTGAATCTACAATTATGAATAGTTATAGAGACACATGTAAATAGAAGAAGAGAGAATTTGCCTACAAGTAATAAAATTACTGTTATTATTTCAGATGAGTATAGAGAGACTAGATTTTGAAATAGAGTCCTAGCCAAGTACTTAGCAAATTCAGAAAGTGCATTTAGTATTATGTATCGAAATTATATATGTGATGTAGCATTGCAACATGTTTCACTTTTTCCCTAAGGAAAATAATAGTATACATTGTCAAGAGACAACATGAAAGTGGATAGAACAAGAAGTTATTGTTTGGAAGAAGATTGATCTTGGAAATTGGAATATGAGACTTGGAGAGGGATGGGTTAAGGTTCACTTTTATTGCTCCTCTTCTCTTTAATAGTTATATTGTCTTTCTGAAATACTGTTATATAATTAAACAAATCAAAATTTTTGATATAAACTTTTAATTTCTACATGTAATAAGAGAGAGGATTACATTACATTATCAAGGTCTTAAGTATGTCAACAAGAGATTGAATTGAATTACAATATTCCACCTGTGTAATCAACTGAGAAACAACAATCCTCGAGGTCTCGAGGTGGTTCATACTAGTAGTGGGTATCACAAGACAGTAGAGTGTAGGAAAGGACCGCAGGGTGTAGGGGATGGACTGCGGGGTGTAGCCGCAGACGGTAGGTATTGGGAATGGCAGTCGGGCATAGGTAAGCAAAGATGAGGGGGACAGCAGGGGATGGCTCATGACTTCCAGGGACTGAGGAGAAACTATATGTGATATGTTATAATACCATGTAACCAACACGGTAAACGATATGCGCGCATGAAAGAGGAGAAGGTTAAATAGATAATCATGTGATCTGAGTATTAAGATAAGACTGAACCAATTCATTCTTCTACAAGCCTTATTTTCTCTTTCTAATACTTCTACAAGTATAAATCATCCCAGTCAACTATATTGGTGATGCCGCAACAAAGCCGAAGAACCGATGCGACAGAAATTCACTTTCAGCAGAATTTGGAACAACAAAGGGGGGTGGGAGCACAGCGGATCCAATCCAAGAAGACCGAACACAAGACTCTTTTATTGGTACGAAAGAATATGACACTGGATACCCTAAATGTTCACCACAGAATGCCTAGGATTTTCCGGAAGAGTTACCGGGAAACTTAAGTGACCCTCTTAGATCTGGACATTCAAAAGATTGAGGATTTTCTTGCCGCATTACCGATTCACGCTGGCAGTTTTTGAGTGCTGGTTTGACAAGACTTTGGACTGTTTTATTTCTTAAAAATGAAACCTTCCTTTCTTATTGGTTTACGCACATGGCACATGATTTGCAGCATTGTAAACCATGAGTGTGATGAAATTATGAACTTGAAGCATCTGAGCATAATAGCCCACAGGATGTAACAGAAAAACTACCCAGGGCTTTACCGGGTCCGATCCGGCTTCCCGTCCATCCTCCATCTGCCCTAGTTCGTCTATGGACTAGAAAAATGACGGGCTACAACCAGCGGTCCATCCGGTCCCACCCCAAAGACGGAAGGACTGGACAGTTCGGATCACTGCCCACTGATTCCGGGTTAAGGTCATGGCCGCCCATCCATCGAGCCTCCGTCCCGGGCACCGGTTCCAGACCACAATCCGTTCCGTCGTGATCCCTCAAACGTACGGACTAAACGCTTAGGGTGATTACCTCTGTTTCCCGGCAGTCTACTCTCACGCCCTACTATCCATTGTAGTTCCCTGCCGTCCACCACCATTCATTGGGTTCTTCTGCCCTCTCTAGCGCCTCCTTAAACCCCACTTCATATTGCAAATCACTAATACTCCACTTGATAGCGTGAATTGTGCACATGGATTACGGGTACTCGTATGTCGGAAGTCTCCAGAGCCAGTCAAGCGTCGACCTGCTGTCTGCAATGCTTACGCGCTTTCTATCAGGATTCAGGACTGAAGGCTCTGGAGGGTCTTTGATATTCATGTATTACAGAGGATGTTTAGCTTGAGAGGTGTTATGTAGCAGGTAGTTGGGAAGAGGAATCAGAGTGGTTGATGAAAGCAGCGTAAAGAGGCTATAAGAGAAGTTCAGAGAACAAAGCAAGGTGAAAGGCTTTGGAAGTTCTTTAGATGTATAAAAAAGGCACGAGATCGCGGAAGAGGGCCACAATTACGGCAGACATTAGCAATTAGAGGCAATACAAGATGTCAATAGCATCAAGAAACGGAAGCTTCTCTCGTGCAGGAAGTGAAAGATCCTGTCTAAAATACAAAATCTCTTACCCTGCAGGGCCGCGTCCACCGTAAGGACGGCTGTCCAAGACTCACGATGCCTTCGACGGGCTGCTCCTCGCTGTTCCACCCTGTCCAGGGCTCTTGCCGGTTCCGTCGCCCGCCCAGAACGGGGGGGCGGGGGAGCGTTGGGAACACTGGGAAGGGGTGTTAATCATCCCTACGTATTATGATATGCCAAGTGGGGGTGCTTGGTATTTTACCTTTCCTGATTTATCACTCTTGCTGCAGTTACCGCATTTTCTGCAGGGATAATTTTCACTGCTGGATCCCTCTATTTTGCACGGTAGATCCGAGGAATGTATCCGTGCAGCATACCCCAATGATTAACAACATATCCCAACTCTTATACTAGTTATTTTTTTGTAAAAGGATGGGGGCGAATATCAATAAAAGCTTGGGAGTGCATATAAATAGATAGCCCCACGTGCTACAACTGGGATAATTTCCTGAAAAATTTGGATTTATGCTCCTCTTTCACTTACCTGCCACAATACCGGTAATCCTCGTTGATTAGCTCAGCCCTGTATCAGATCAACACCCTCTCATAAAAAGCACTCAGCATTTATTTGAATCTGCTATCTGCTTCACGTCCCCGTCAAGACCAACCATCATACCCGTAATAATGGGCATCCCGAAACGTGCACACCTGCAAATTTCTAGTATCATAACTGACAACAGTATTACTTGCTAATGACGATAGTGCTGGCGAGAAAATTTTAAGGTTCACGCAGTGCGCAAGTTAGCCCTGTGCTTGAAAACGCACGAAGGGATAAAACTATGTGCCCCTCGTTGCAATTACTGACAAACCCCCCTAACAGCCTCACAAACCAACCCAGCCACAACCCCCCTTGCAACCGCCTCCTCCTGCAACGCATCAAACATGACAGAGCAACACTCCGCGCTCGCCCCCGCACCCATAACCCCCCTCAATGCCTCCGGTAACCCCCTTTCGCGCACCAATCTGCGTGCCTTCTCCCTCTTGCTCTCCTCCCCCTCTCCCTCCACCTCCGCAGCTTTAGCAGCCGAGGCCTCCCAGATCTTCAATTCTTCCGTCGTCATGAAGGCGCTTTCCCGGATCTTGCGGATGTAGGATGATACCGCTTCGTCTTTTGTATTCGCCTCAAGGACGGTTTCCTGGATTAGCACGCGTATGGATTCCAGCGATGCGTTGCCAGGGCGGAGGAGGATTGACTTTGCCACGTTCAGGAGGGAGCGGCGGAAGATCCAGGCTGATGAGAGGGTGTATAGTTCCGAGATGATGGCGAAGATGATTTCTACGACGAATTGGGTCTCCGTGGCGGAGAGCGGAGATGCGGGCTTTCTCCTTAGAGAGGCTTCGGGGGGTAGGGTTGTTGTCGTTCCAGGTGATGAAGATGTGGTTGTGGGTTGAGAGTGTATCATTGTTTGCAGATTTGATCCGCTACTGCTGGTTGAGAGCAGGCTCGGGTTTGGTTGCAGCAGGGGGGAAGAAGTGGAATTCGCCCGTAGGCTGGAGAGCGTGATGCCGGGGTCGGAGTCGTGGTGGTAGTCATCCGGCATATCACTTGGTGGGGGCGGGAGGTTGAGCATTTCCTCGTCGTCGACGCCGAGCATTTCTACCGCGAGGCTTTGGCTAGCGCCGGATCTCCGGGGTGGTAACTCTGGCCTAGCCTCTGTTGGTTCTTCAACGGTGGAATACGGGCGTGGCGGGAGCGTTGGGGCCTGTGTTTCGAATGCTAAATTCATGAGGTCCCCTTCGGGTGATTCGTTGATTGTTGCAGCAGATTTTGAGTGTTCGCGGGCGGTGGGCTGGGTGAGGCTCAGGCTTTCCATAGAGGATCTGGATGTTCCGTTCTGTGGAGAGTTGTTCCCGTGCTCTAAAGGCAATGATAGGGTAGTACTTGATGCGGACGATCGCTTCATACCAACACTATTTCGAAATACCCCGCCAAAGAGGGCTTTTCCGCCTTCCGCAGCCCCTTGCGGTGCTTTGGTTAGCGCATCCAACATTCCCCCACCAACCTTTGCGAGTGCCTGAGGGTTTGGCCAGGCCTTCCCCAACCTTGCGAACCCCCCTTGACCGTTATCTCCTGACCCAGTGGCTGGGATGTCCTTCTCCCAGAACCTCTTCATCCCTTCGCACTCGGCCAGACCACGTATTCCTAACGCAGAGTTCAAGTATTTTTCCAATCCTGCCCTAAGTGATTCTTTTGTCTGCCCCTTCCAAGCCGGCAGGTCGGAGAATCCGACAACACCGGAAATTTTCGATATCCGCGATAGCACCTCGTGTAACGCTTCAAAATCGGGGTATTTCCTGGTAACGATCCAGCCAGGAATGGAACCGGAGGCTGGTTCGATCTGGAGAAGGTATACTGAGCTGGTAGGCCTTGAGCGAAGCGGCTTGTCGGCGCCGCTCGTGACAGGCGTGAGATCGGAGAGTTCGACACGCGCTCGGAAAAAGATTTCCTGGGGTTCCGCGGTCGGCACAACTAGTTGATCGAAAGAAGTGAATGCTCCCGGTCGCGGCGGAGGTGTCGGTGGCCTTTCCTCTTCCCCCGTGCTGGGCTCTTCTGGATTCGAGAGGGGTATCGAGGGGGGTGAAACGCCCTTATTATCGAACGACGCCCGAACAGTGTCCCCAATCGTGCCACCACTCAATACCCCATTCGTAGCAGTGGCAGGTGACTCTCCAATGTCCACGGGGTCCCGCACCGCTCTCGCTTCATCCTCGGCAATCATCATTGATAATTCCTGTGCCTCCTTCATCGCTTTCTCCATTTCCTCCTCTGCTCTGCTCAGCCGCTTCCGCTTCGCGAGCTGTTCGGCCGCAGCGGCACCTTCATCCGAGCCCTCGACTGCACCGATATCTATCTTCTGTAATATATCTGGCTGTGTCTCCGCCTCCAATAAGTAAATTATCCAACCATTAATGAAGTCAGCGCTTGAGCACTTTTCTACCGTCCTCTCTAATACCGCACCAGCCAATACCTCTGTCAGAAAAGTCCGCATGGGAGTGCAATCGACCGCTTCCGCAGGAAGAAATGTCTGAAGAATATCCTCCGCTGCCATGCGTAGCTTTCTCCTCTGGCTTTCCCGGTCTACCAACTGCGCTAACGCTGACGAGGGGCATTCTTCGATGTAGGTTCCAATTGAGGTCTGCGCAGTCTGAGCCAGTTCGCGAAAGAAGACGATGAAGATATTGGAAGTAGATACTAAGAAAAGTAGAAAGGTATCCGTAGGCCGCTTGCTGGAGATGTGTCCGTGCATGTTAAGCAGGGTCCGGGTAAGTAACTGCCGACAGGAACCCGGGAATTTCTCATCATTCGGCAGAATCGGCGTGTACCAGTATCTGTCGGAACGTCAGCTCTAGCCCTCCCGAGGTGATAGAGGTACTACCGGACATAATCCCTAATAACAGCCTCCGTGAGTTCCTCGAAAGCCGCCGCGGTCTCGGGGGATAAGGACGAAAAGCCTATATTCCTCGGTGATCCAGAAATTTTCCTCCTCTAGTCCACCGTTAGCCTCCTTCATCATCCCCGAAGGGGGGAGAGCAGGGGAGTAGAATGAGCGCACCCTCACAATTGCCCTCTCGTCCCCGGAATCTCCCTCCTTAAGGGTATCCCTCTCCGCCAGTCTCTTTTCCAGCCAATCCGTCATCAATGCCGTTGTCCCGCCCCTACCCCTTACCCCGGTTGACTGTAAGTTCTCCAAACTCGCGTGCAGAACAACGCCCGCCACGACGCCGACGAGCATTAACCCCAGAGTCCCAAAAACCACGTAGAGGAAGAGAGCGATTACGAATACCGTCACGCCAAGTAGCTCCGGTGTTGCGGTGGACAGAAAGGCGAGGACTTGGTGGGCGATCTCTGCAACGCTGACTCTCGGTGGAGCTACCGCTCCCTCGCTCTCGCTCGAAGCCGCAGCCTCAGGTGGTAGAGGTACCTCCTCCTCCTGGGCAGCTAATCCCAGCGGTTCAGGCTGTCCGGTATCGTCCACAGGGTTCTCCGGTGGTACCGGTGGTATCGTTCGATCCGCTTCCATATTGCGAGCTGCTGGTTCGGAAAGGTCGACTGTCTGGAGCTTTTGGAGGGAAAGAGAGAGGGAAAGCTGGAAAGTTCGTTGGGGCGTTAAGGCACGCTAAACCGGCTCGAACTTGAATCCCGGCAAGGCGCGACAAATTTGGAAAACAACAAGGATTAGGAAACAGAGAGGGACACCTCCGGGACTTTGTAGCGGTAATAGTACTTGTACAAGTACTAGCACTGTACTGAACGAGTAGTGGTGCAGCAGCCATTCCCCACATAATTGAATTTCCACTTATATAATATCATGCATTTCTATGAAATTTCGGGCGCTTTCGAAAAATTACTCTATCCACGCGGGTTATACTTGTATCATACTGTAATTCCAATAACCAAGTCGGGGTAAAGGCTAGCTGGCGATTTCCGGAAACCTCTCTTCGCCGAACCCTAACCCCGCCCCGACCCGCTTCTCGGATCCACAGCGCTCTTCTATTTGCAGACGGCTAAGCCAAGGCATTGCACCGTACTGTACAAGTACCCGCAGCCAGCCCCGACCCTGGAGCATGGGCCACTCTGCTATATGCCTTTCGGATGAAGTCAAGGGAGGGGAGATGTTGGATTCGTTTATATGTATCCTATCGTTAAGTGCCATGAACGGCTTAAAACGGCTATCCCTCATGCCACGTTTCACAATCAAGGGCATGTCCCGGAGACCTCAATTAGAGACGCTTGCAGCTTCGGAAATTGGTAGAGCCGCACTATCATCCATACACCTCACCTGCAGCCCCTGCGCTGCGCTGGCGGTGTGGCTTATTTTCAAATTATCCCCCCTTTTACTATAACTTTTTTTTATTATCTCTTTGTACCTAAACAGTGTTCACAAGAAATCACTCGATATTGAAAGACATTCACCCGTTCCCAGTGATGGCTGTTTATAGGAAGTGGATAGGGTGTCGGAATTTTAAAAATTCTGCTCGCGAGAGATGAATTTTGCCCCCCAAGTTAGGGTTGGCCGCATGGAATGGCGTTAGCAGATAGGGCTCCGCGCCAAAGATCCCACCAACCGCACCGATTCAATTCTCCCAATACACATACCCCCCCTCCGAAATCATGGACCACAAAGCACCCCCAGCTGCTCTTCTGTAGCCCCCATATCAACTGCAAGCTGATACGCCGTCTTCCCCGCCGCATCCGTAACATGCCGATCAACATGGTGTTCGAATAAAATCCCGACAATCGCCTCCCGCCCGTTCATAACAGCAACGTGCAATCCCGTCTGTCCCGTCTCGTGATCCTGTCGACTGACAAGTTCTGGGGTTGCCGCGAGCATCTCCCGGACGTCTTCCTCATCACCTATCCTCATTAGCTAGGGAAAAGACGGAAAGAAAACCACAGGCCTGCGGTGGGAGGTATCATACCCTCAGCACAAAACTCGAGAAAAGCCCTAACTTCCTTCATCTCCGGATTCCGATCATAAAACTCCTCTTCCTCGAGTAGCGTTCCGATATCAGTATTCGGCTGCTCGCCACCCTCATTCCGTAAGGTGACCAGGAGTTTTCCATTTGTGGTTATGTCTTGCGTGCAAGCCGGGCACTGCGATTTGGTCGCGGGCGTGGCACCGTCTGCGGAGTATTCCCCTGCGAAGCAGGACCTGTTGTGTCACCGTTAGTCCCCTTCCTTCGTTTCTGAAGGTGAGCGTGAGCGGGCGGGATAGGTGATACCAGTGATAATGATGCCCGCAGCGTAATTCCACATCGTCGACGAGGCCGGGTTCCTCAGGGTGGTCTTCGTCCGGAATGGTGAGGGCCTCGTGGCAGGATATGCAGGTCTCTGGGGATGCCATTTGGATTGGCAATCGAGGGTTGAGAGCGCGGGGGTGGTGGAGTGCTTGGCGGGGAAGGCGTGCGGTATCCGTTCCCCTTGCCTTATCCGCGAGTTGAATGCTGCTACCTGTGTGGAGAGATGAGATCTGAGGCCTACAGGTGCAAGCGAGAGAGGTTTGATCCGCAGCGATCCCGGTATTAGATCATCGGTGGGTATTTGATACCCACATTTGTCACTTGCAATTACCAGTGCCGAACCTTCAGGAAGGACTAACTTAGCCCAAACACGACGCGTGAGGAATCGTGGTTCCACGACTACCTTGGAGCGCCAAGTGCTGACCTAATGGCAACCACTCCCCAATTTTCGCCAAGCCTCCCCCTTCTGCCAGTACGGGTCTGATACTACAAGAATACCGCACTCGAGTGTACGAGTACAGCAAGAAATACCGTACTTGAACACAGGGATTAAATATTTGTATGGCAGATGATCTGTGCGTGTCTGTGCCGTCTAAGCGCCTTGTTCGGGTATTTCTTGTGGTATACCGCAAAAACTCAGTAAATCCACTACTCGAGTACCGGTACCTGTAATACTCGAGCAAGGTACTTTTTAGTATGTATTACTAAGCGAAAACTTATCAGGAGAAAAAAATGTACTTGTAACATCCAAACGCCAATAAGCCACCGGGAAGATTGCTATCACCAAACTCAGCGATGTGCCTTCCCCAGCAGGTCTCTAACCGGATACAAGTACCTCTCACTAACTGGACTACCGTATTCGGGCCACTTCGCACGACCGCGCCCCCTACCCCGACGCGCACATTACCCCTCCGGCGAACGACTTGCCTATACCCGGCCCGTACCCACCTTCGCGGGCGGGGGTAAGCCCATCATTGCCGAACCCCTCATCAGTCAAAATTGCGTGCCCATCCTCCTATACCCGGCTATCATTCCTCCTGGCGCCGGTTCCCGGACCGGTCGTTTAGCTGTGGCGAGTATAGCGGCATTGTATCAGGGGTAAATTGAAAAGAAAAAAAAAAAGAATGAAAAAAGGCCACGCCCACACGCTGGATGGGCGCCTGCTTCGCCCTTGAGAGACTTGAGGGTCGAAATCTACCCTGCCATACGGGTTCGAGGCGAGGCACCCGAGTAGAATGAGGGGCGAAGTTCGATTTGAGGAATTGGCTAGGAACCGGCACACTAAGATGTAATGTTAAGTTAGCAAGGTCAAATCAAGGGACATTACCTGAGAGAACGGGGGAGGAAACATGTTAAAGCTTGAAGGAATGGATTGTATTGGACGTGACGTTGTGGATAGCTTGAGAAGTGCTGTAAATGCTTCCGATGAGGATGTGCCATTGTACGAGTAATTTGTGGTTGATGGAAAGCGATGGTGCCTGGCAGGAAGGTCCATGGCGTTAAATTGGCTCGATTAATTGGCCCCGGGACGAATTGTCCATCGTCACACCAGCCCGTCGCTCTCTGGGAGACTCTCAACACCCAAACAACCTCTAAATTAAATTACTTGTACTCGAGTAGCATATACCGTGTACCGCACGCAATACAACCACATTCAATTCTGTAGAAATACTCGACTTTACTTGTACCTGCCTAACATGAATCTCCTCCTCTTGATATTCCTTCCAGAAGATTGCCTGCTCACTTCCCCGTGACTCACATAGTAATACCGCGCCTATCAACCCCCTAAAGCCCACCGTCATAGCCCATCCTCTCACGCTAGCCCAGTATCCTAAAAATGCAGAGCCCGAAAAACCATCCGATACAGCATCAACTGCCCGCACAACTCTCCCATAATATCATGGCGACACTCCCTCCCGCACAACACCAGCACCAGCGAGCCCACCCGAGACAGGTATACGGTATTCGCACGTCTCAAGCCCCCGTGAGAAAAACCGATCTTCAAGCCCAAGGTCTTGCTCATGAGGGTTACCCTGACAGACACAGCGCAAGTACTGTACGGTAGTGGAAGACACTTTTCATGCCCTTGCGGGCGGCACAGCAAGGGGTTGCGCGAGTATTTTGTGATATATCCTGGGCTGCAGTGGAAGGGCTTTAGACCGGTATTGGTGATTATAACGTGGCGGTGTCAGCGGTGTCACCAGCAGGCTTGCGCAACGGTAGCGGCAATTTGTCATGAGGACTGATAACTTGTAGCGCTCAAGTTTTAAGCAGAGGGGATCCCCAGGTTGTATGGAGTACGGTACTTGAGTCGAAAGTCCTGAGTGCCGGTACAGCATTCACCCGCCCGTTTGTTCATCCACGCCATTCCGTGAAAATCAGCCCTACGCATCGCGAGATCCCGCTAACTCGAGGAGTAAATAGTTTCCTAACGATACCCCTTTTACCTTTCTTATGGAAAAATTGTGCATATCATTCCGTGTCGTCGTCGCCGTGGCTGCGGTCCAGGACTCCGAGCACCCCGCAACCGGACAATTCCGGCTTCGAACACTCCCAATGGGCTCGACGGCGGCCCGCGTCTCTGAGCAGGTCTCCTATCCGTAACAGCCCAGGTACCGCCACCGCTCCTCCCGCTTATCGGTGTAGTTCTGCCCGAAATCGAGTGAGGATGCCAGCATAGACAGGTGCGCCCTACACCACAACTCCGGATTCTCAATAGGCATCGCTATAGGAACTCCACGCTCGCGGTGGCAAAATGGATAGACCAGCATTAGACATGAGAACAGGATCAGGAGGGTAGACGCATAACGGAGAGCGAGGACGTGGTCCGCGGAATGTTTACCGCATAACACCGTCCGGCTCGGGAGCGCAGACTATGGAAACACCAGGCGGGCCCCGGCGAGGAAGCGGGCGGGACTGTTGCTAGCCACGGTTCATGTTATTCGTTTTCCAAATTGAAAGGGTGCTATAACGGGACATGTCACGGGAGAGGAGCCGTGGTTTACCTTATGTGATGGGGATCTGGTAAAGTCCAGAGTTGGACCGAAGGTGGGAGGGATGCTGCCCAAATTGAGGAGGGGGTCTGGGATTGGGGCAAGCGATTGAGCGACAGTTGATCTAAATGACCGGGAGGCCAATACCGATATCATACCCCCAGGAAACGGTTCAGACCTCTACACCGCCAAAAGCTAAACCTACGACCTGGCCTACTCTCTGCACGGCAAACGTCCCTCTTCACGGCGACCCCCGATCCTAAAAATTACGTAAACCTCCTGGGCCTCGGCCAATGCATAGCGATGGAGGGCTACGGCTACGGAGTCTCGGAAATAACCCGAAAAGATCGCCCGTATGCTGCAACTCCTCTAGACATACGGCGCCTGCTTACCTTCCTGCACGCGAATCATGCCAGCAAGCTGTGCCGGGCCTAACGGGAACTCCGCGTGTACGGGGCCATCGCGGACTTAGCGGAGGTATTCACGGAGGAGGTTGGGCGAGAACACCAGCGCTCATAGGAAACAGGTGCACGAGCGGATGAGCCGGAGGGATAAAAGGGTCTAGATTGTTATTGGGGGGGGACAAGGACGGGATCACACAGCTTGGGCTGTCGGATGGGGGTGGGGGCGGGGGGGATTGAAGCTTGAGGATGGGGTGCGACCTTTTTGGTCTCGCCGGTGCGGATCGTTGGGTGCCAAATTGCATGTTTTGATGCATGCCGGTTTCATACGCGGTCACTCGAGGGCACTCTAAGCTCTAGAGTGATACTCTGGGCTACCAACTTAGCCCCGGGTGGAGGGTCGTACCTATGATACATGTGGCTGTTGAACAATTTAGATTCAGTCAATCGATCCAATATCGAGGGGCCGTTAAAACAATTCAAACATCGAAAACCGCAACAAAGTTTCCACCCACATGATCACCGACAAAACCTCATTGGCACTGGCGACGGGTAGCCACTCAGGTAAGACATTCAGAGCCTCATCTCATCACCCCCTCTCACTCGCTCGATACACCACCGGCACTACCGCAACACCCAAAGAAAAAGAACCCCGGCACTCGCAGCCCTCGCCGAGCCACTCGCTCCCCCACCTCCCAGGAAAAAAACCGCTCACCAGGACATACACCGGCCTAACTGAACCAGTCCAAGGAACCCCGCATCCCACCAAATCCAGCAGCCTCGGCAGGAAAGTACCAATCACGGGGATAACCCGGACTTACCGCTGGCCCATTGTCACATCTCCGCTCCGCCTTACAAACGTGTCGGCAACGCAACGGCAGGGGAATTGTTACGATTCGATGCAGATAGGCATGATTTGGAATTCTGAGCGTTTTTTTATTTTTTTTTCACCCCTTTCTTTTTTCTCGCTCGAGTGGGGTGCGAGTGGGGTGCTAGGCTCCGCATTGAGGAGGGCAGCGGGAGGGGTTCTGAAGGAGAACTTGGCTAGAGGGAACGAGGCAGGGAGGCAAGGAGGAGGGCTCGTGCTTTTTTTTGAGTGGGATTTGAAAGGCAGCGAGACCCCACTAAGATAGGTGCGGTTGATGCTAGGATGCCGGTACGGTACGGCAGTTCAGCGAGGGAAAGACATCTATCATGCTGGAGAAGCCTACCCACACGTGAGATTGTATATAAAAATTAGACCACGACTGGGACCCCATCCCCATCGAATCCAGAATTGCGATATCTCGATTGCCCCAAACTAGTTAGCCTCACCTCAGCACACCCCCGCTGGGACCAACCTCACACCCGTCCCACTCCAATGTCACACCAAACAACGAACCGGGTAAGACAGCACTCGAAAAAAGGGAAATACTAGACCACCGGTACCTTGTATCACGGCACTGTACGATCGTACAGTACTCGTACATCGGGGTCTCCCCTCATCTCCGGACCGGGAGCCGTAATTTTTTCCTATCAAAAAGAGACTGCCCTTAAGTCTGCATTGCCATTGGGTGGTCTTTCTCGATACCAAACCAACCCCCGCACTCTTCCCCTCTCGCCCGCTCCTGTACCCGGGTATGCAGTATATATCCGCGACTGCATTAGTCGGTCCCGGGATTTATCGTCAGGAATGGCTGCACCCTCGTATTGACCACCGTAGTACAGTTCCGGCACTCGTATAGCGACAGGGAAGGCCGCGCGTAACTTGCTTGATTGGTGAGGCAGGTTACTTGGGCCCACCGGAGGCAACGCTTAAATACCCTGCGACAGCAACGGAACTACATATCGAATCCCCAGTCGGCAGCGAGGAATTGACCATAAAAATAATCCCAACGGATTCGAAATCATGGCTTCAAACGCCCCGGGAGAGTGCTGTATAAAGGGCGTTTTGCACGAGGGTACGCCGAAGGGAGAGGTGGTGCAGATTACGGAAGGTTTGTTGCAAGTCTCGGTTTGATTCGCGTCGGAGTGACAGCTAATATGGAGTTTTTCCGCCAGTGGAAACGTACATCACCAGGCCCGCCAGCGGATCCAGCGAGAAGGTGATCCTGCTATTGACGGACGTTATGGGGCTTTGCACCAATCCGAAACTGTCCCACCCCCTCCCTCCTTCCCTACGCCCGAGTGTCTGCTAACACAAATAACTGCACCAGCATCGCCGACGACTTTGCAGCAAACGGATACACCGTCCTAGTTCCTGACATCTTCGCAGGCGATAACGTCCCCCTCCCAGCGGATCGGAAGCCTGGATTTCAACTTCCGGAATGGCTAAAGAATCACCAGCCCCACCACGTTGTCCCAATTATCCAGAAGGTGATGGACCATATTCGGTCCGATCTTAGTATGCCTCCCTTCCCATTCTTCCCGGGGATGCATATTTAGAGCAGGTCTTACACACCACAGAACCCCGCAAAATCGGCGCAGTAGGATACTGTTTCGGCGCAAAATACGTCACACAACTTCTCTCCGGCCAGATCGACGCAGGCTACAATGCACACCCCAGTTTCGTCACCCTGGATGAACTCTGCGCTATCAAAGCCCCACTCGCAATTTCTGCTGCCGGTATAGCCCCCCCCCCCCCCCTCCAACAACCATCCTTGGAGCAACGACAAAAAGTTAATACCGAGAGCATAGAAACGGACTCAATCTTCACCCCTGAGCTACGCCATGCCACGGAGGCCAAGTTGGCGGAAATCAAGGCCACCTACCAGATTACCCTGTTTTCTGGGGTGGAGCATGGGTTCGCGGTGAGGTGCAATTTGGCGAACGAGAAGCAGAGGTGGGCGAAGGAGGAGGCGTTCTGGCAGGCTATTAGGTGGTTCAGGTTGCATCTTTCCTAGATCATGTTAGATGCTTGTGAGGTTAGGATGCAGAGGATGGGTCTGAAGGTGAGCGCGAGTGAGATTGAATGATTCCATTGTTTTGTAATTTAGACGAGGGCCGCCAAGAGCGCGCGGTCTTTTTCCTTGATCACGCGTGCTCTTTTTTTCTTACTTTTTTTCTCTTTTACAATTCCTGAATATCCGTACCATAGTGCCGGTACCCTACAGTAGCTACAGTATTTTGTAGGAGTGGGGTGTTTTGAGGTGTCGTGCGGTAACCACCCATCGTACGGATCCTTTTGGCCTAGTACTTTATGATAAGTATTTACTCGCACAATCCGCTATCCGACAAACCAACAGCGTTAAACCGCAATAGTCTCGCTTATCCGTGCAAGTCGACGAAACTGCCAGCACGGTTAACAAGTTCCAGCACACCACATGAGCAAACACCATCCCTCTCTTAGCAGGGAGTTTAGAGACCCATCGGAGATACCGGATTACACAAGCCCTCACGGCACCGTATCCCATGATAGTCACCCAGGAGCATAATCAAACATGGAGCATCACTGTCCCGCACTTCCCTCCCCTCCCTTCCCCCGACTTCGGTTAGTTAAAAAGAAGCACTGTAGCGGGAAGCCCCAGCAGCACTCGCACCAGTATTTCCAGACCCACTAATCACGTAATAAAAAAAAGCAGATAAGATAAAAATGATAAAAACCTTTGATGATACCGGGTCCGCTTCACATGTATCATAGTCTAGTAAGTTGGTGTCGATATGAGTCTTTACAACATGCTCTTTTCGGCCGGTCTACTAATATATACCGGTAGTCAACCTCCCACAGAGCTACCCGGCAGACGCCGTGCGCGCGTCAGGATTTGCCATCGCAACTCCCCTCCTCTGCTCGGAGGATTTTGATAGCGCCCGCCCACCCGGACATGGGAGTGGAGTGGCGACGCTAATCACTTAGGGCCTTCCTTCCTTCCCGGCAGCTGAGTAAAATAATATACTACGGGCTTTCTCACCAAGTTGTTGGCGGGGGCATCCGGTCCTGGTCCGTGCCGAATTGTGCTTCCCGTATTTTGCGAATACTGTACGATATCATGCTATATTTGTACACCAGATTGTTTTTGTTTTTTTTTCCCTCTTCCTCCAAAGGTGAAGGAGGTATATAACAACCGGCCCCTCGGCGGCAGGCCTGAGCGGCTCGGGTGTCAAGTATCATTCATCCATTCCCTTCTCGACACTTTTGAAAACGCGTGACTATACTATTATACTATCGGTGTGTGAATTTTAACTTACTGATTAATGGAGCTCCATCATCGCATCACAACCGCAACCACATGCCTACCGTACCGCTCCCGCCCATGCCACGCATTTCAGGGAATCACGGCACGGCGCGGAGGTGGTTGGAACCTGCAGTACTTCGTACAAGTACAGTACGAGTAAGGCGTGGGCTCCCCACATTCCCGGACAAATCACCCGTCGTCATCTGGCTATCCAACGCTAAGGTTTTATCATGGGAGGAGACCTTGATCCCTCAGCCAGGACCCAATCTTCCTTTTGCCCCGTTAGCTATTGTCTGCTAGGACTCACGACATGTCATCCCCTAAAAAGGCTTCGTCACTACCCTGTTTAAGCCAGAAATCACATTGATATTTATTCGCACGGCGTATGCCAGCTCAAAAAAAAAAAAAAAAAAACAACCCCGCAACATGCAGACACTCTACTATCCCATTCGCTCCTCCATCCTCCCCCTCTGCACCACGTCTCCCCCCTCAGCCGACCCCTCTTCCATCCGGTCCCAAAACCCCCTCCCTGCCCACTCCTTAGCCTGCCACGCTCTTACAACCTCCGTACTCTCCTTGCTCTTCCGTGCCAGCTTCTCCAACATCCTCGCAAGTACAATCCCCTTTTCTTCCAAAATTTTGAAAATGGCCCTGCACCAAAGTGTACTCCTCTCCCCCTTCTCCCCCATCCTCTTAAAACACTCGGCAGCAATCCTGAGCGGGTACATGCTCAGCACCGGCCCGTACGACTTCTTCCCCGGAGAGATATAGTACTCCATGGACATGCATATCTGTGCTCCAAGGTCGTATATTTCATCGATCGTTACAAGGGGGGCTTCAGAGGTGGGAGTTAATCCGATCACTGTCGAGTATAAGATTATTAGGTTTGTCCAGTAGAAAGTGCAAGTGTGTGCGACTCCGACGTTTGAGAATTGGTAACGGGTGGGGAAGACGGGGGGGTCGATGTTTAAGGCGGAGAACTCCAGCCAGTAGTGCGGGTTGGGGCAGTTGCGCGTGAAGTTTTCGTGCCACGCGTTCAGTCGGGCTCTAAGGTCCAGACAGCGCCTGAGAAGCGAGGGGTGAGCAGAGCGCGGGAGCGTGTCCTGGTCCTCGAGAATCGCCGGGAGTTCTAGGAGCAAGTCCTGCAAGTCCTGAACCGGGACCCTTCGGACGTTGGTCCAGGGGATCGTGCGCCATTCCTCCGACGCAAGGAAGCTGCGTCTGCGGATTATGAGTGAGTTGATTAACTATTCCTGTGTTAGCTAGCATCCGGGCGCTCCACAGAAGAGGAAAAGGAGGAATACGTTAACACTAAGAAAACTGCTAAATAGAAAATGGGCTAACCCGGTCTTGTGCACTTCCGGCCCTCTCAGCCGAACCAACAATGCCATACCGTCCGCGTGTCGCTGCCATCCGCTCGGCTCTGTACACCCCATCGTCTTCGCATTGTTAGATATTCCGATATTCGGATCAGTAGGATGCAGTCACCGACCTCGAACATGGCCAACGACATGGTCGCTGCTAACGTCTCGTCCCGGATAGAAACCTCCCGGCTCGAGAGCGTGGCACTCAACTCTGCCAAGGCAATCGTGTATATCCTTGTGCTCTCCTGGACGAGCCGCTCGTCCTTGCTCCACCGGCCGACAAACACGGTGCACATTGCCATTATGGCCGTGTCGAAAACTCGAACGCCGCAATTCAGAGAAAAAGGGATTGAGTGAACCCATCCCGAGGGAATTCCCCCTAACTGAGAGCTGGCTGGTGTGTACCAGTCCAGAAAATGCGCCACAAATGCGGACCGGTGATGTGGCTGGGGAGGTGGGGTAGCAAGGAGCGGGAAATGCGCTTCCTTGACTGAGCGCGGGGGCAGTCTTATCACAGCGTCCTTCGCGGTGCCGCTATTAGCGGAGCCACCGTCGCCCGAAGAACCGGTCTTGGGATCCGGAGGCACCGAAGCTTTGGCTGCATGCGTACTGAGTCCCGGACCAGTCGCATTACGAAACACCACCGCACGGTGATATCCCGCGCATACCCTATTTGATTTTATGCAGTTTCCACATTCCGGCCTTTTCTGGTCACACTTTTCGATTATCAGCCCTATCAACTCGGTTGAGGCAATAACGACATGCGGGGGAAAGGGATATATAAGATCCGATCTGGGCCTGGTAATATCTTTTTCCCAAGACCCGCATCATTTACCACCCAATCTTCAGAACTCGATCTGTCACACCAATCCGCCGGACAAACGGATGGAGGAGAGGACGCAGCAGTAGCGAATCATGGTGGGGCACCTTGGCGACCTTCCACTCCAGAAGCCTGGGTTCGTGTATGAGGTGCATGAATTGAGATGATAGGTGGCTTACCCCAATCTTTCGTTTGCGGCAGGTATTGCAACCCTTCGATCGCCCAGGAACGCCAACCATGACTCGCCGCCCAAACTTCCCAGGCGAATCCTCGAAATTATTCCCCTCCGAACAAACTACGCGCAAACCGTCTCCTGACACCTGGACCACCGGCTCTTCCTCAACGTGTCAGCGAGGACTCCGGTGGGCAAATGAGCCGCGGCTGGATCCGCCAGGGATACACTCACTTTTGTGGCGACGTGAGCGATAGGGCAAACGCGGCGTGCTACGGTATCTTTTGTGTTCCAAATAAGGAGGTGTTCAGTGAGGATGATTGCCGCGAGGTCCACAAGTTGCTCTCTCGACGTTCGAAATTCCCACTGTAGGTTAGCTAGGGCAGGAGCACAGCAATTATCCCTGCAGAACTACTCCCAGAATAGTTGCAATCAGCGAAGGACGCGAAGTCCCGGCGGCAGCGGAGCGTAACTCGTAAACCGGTGACCGTTGGATCCTCAGCAGGAACTACGAGTAGTACTCAATACACGTATCGACGAAAGCGAGGCCAGAATACCGGTACTATGATTCGATGCGGGCTTCGCTTTGGTGAGCACAATACCGGGTGTAGGGCACGCGTGAACGGAGTGCGATGCCAGTACTCGAGTACAAGTGCCCGAGTAGAGTACGGTAGGTTGATGAGTTGGATAGGCTCAAACGGACCCCTATCATACCGGTACCGTAGGTCAGCTGCTATATGGCGAGCCTGACCCCCTAAAGCCGGCGTAAATATTCCTCCGGTTGGCCGACCGCGCCCCCCGTCCAACGGAGTCTCCTCAGGCGGGGAGGCCGTGCGCATAATAAGAGACTTGGAGATGTTGGAGGAAGCAGCGCGCCCCACACACGAGAAATCAATTGCTACACAACCGAATCCTTTCAACAAAAAAGGTAATGCTTCCAAGAGGCCCTCTAATGTACATAGTTAATGGTGTCCATATTCTTAATTTTTGATTCTGTAGTGGGGGTATCCACGATAAACTGCACGAGTAATTTTCTCGAGTGCTCATAAGCAACATGGTCAGAAATATTTGTTGCAGTGCCCTTTCGGGAAAGGAGGTAGCTTGGCGTTGTCGAATTAGGAAAAGATGTCTGTATTGGGTTGCCCTCAGCCTCCCCCCCATCTCCGACAGGCACAGTGCTGGTTCACACCAACCTACCGATAGTGGGCACAGTACTCGTAGAGTACCGTACCGGTACTCGCACCGCGCTGTACATAGTACTCGTACTCGTACTCGTAGCATCATACATGTCCGAACATTCCCGATTCCCTTTAACCCACCAAACCAAGCCGACTGCTCCTCCCGATACCGGTAATCCGAGAGCGGATTACATGAGTGGATACGGTGCGGCATTCGTAAGCGTTTCCTTCATCGCACTTGCAAGAACAAATCACTGACGATGATTGGGGTGGCCCGGACCACCGATTCCGCAGAACTTTGTTGAGAGTATGGCGAAGGATCGATACTATCATGGTAGCGGCTACGGTACGAGTACAGTACCACACTCATTCACTCCGGGGATAAATTGAGCGCAACAAAACTCATCACCGAGAGTATCAAGCTCCGCACGTTGGACGGTTGGGTCGTGAGAAAACAGGGGGAGGGTTTTGTCGGCGAGTTTTTAATCCTCAAGGGAGTCGCCATGTCCTGCAGATGCACCCCTACCCCTAGTGCTCCCCTACAACGACAACGTCTTCTACCGTCGACTCGCGGGAGTGGCTCAGAAACAGGGATTGCAGCGTATTATAAAAAAACTCAGTAGCCTGCTTGTGCTGTACTCGAGTACAGTACGATATCATACCCGAAACAAGCTCCACAACCCGAAATGGAAACTCTAGCCTTAAGACAACCGGTGAAACCAAACACACCATACCGGTACGGTATGATATGAGGATCAGCATAAATTATCCAGGCAACAAAACCTCCGGTACCGTATCGAGACTTGTGAATTGGAAGCAACAAGCCCATCAGCCGGACAGGGTTGTTCTCGCCAAATATGGCATTCAATCCAGTTCAATGGCTATTCACCCAAAGTCGAAGCCATTACTGCTAGAGCCATCATACTAAATATCTTAAAACTCTTGAGAGGAAAGAAGGAGAAAAAAAGTAAAAAAGTAAACGGCAATAACATGTGTTAAGAGAGAACTTTTGTTCAAAAACGAAAAGCGATTGCAGGGTCCCGTGGCATTGGATTCCGAGAAAATGCAATTCAAATTAACAGCCGATAATGAGGAGAACCCAGACAGTTGTAAACAGGTGTATCATAGCTCATCGAAGCTAAGATCGGATATCAACCCAAGTTATGATACCGTGGATAATAAATTCTTTGCCTTTCCCCCATCACGCACTTTCATTTTCACCTTAGAGTAAGTACCGTAGATTTAAATCAATGCTCAGCGTCCAGGGTTCCAATTACAGTCGCACCTCGCTATCCCGGATCCCGCTGAACCGGATACCACGCTGAACCAGACAAAATCTGTGGCAGCCCTGGACTGTCATAGAATTCACCCTGTTGAACCGGAAAGAGGTAGGATTCGGATTCGTATGATATTTGAGAAATGGCACCCCTGGTCCCCATAGAAAGTTGATCTGTTGAACCGGATCCCAAGATAACTGTTCAATAAACTAAGCCAAATGAGGAAAGAAGGCGGGTTTAGAGAGATAGTTAGAAGTAAAGAGAAAAAAGGAAGAAGAAGACTCTGGGAAGGGGGGGAGATTCCAATACATATATCTAGACACTATAGATAGATAATTTATTTTCGAAGTAGAAAGTTGTCTGCACTGCGCAAGCCAGTTTAATAATGCCTACAATGAAGTCAACAAAGAAGACTGGATTAACCGCCTTGCAAAAGTATGAACTATGCTGCCTTCGAGCACGACATCCACAAATGAAGCTGGCTGACTTTGCCCTTCTCAATGAGTGCCCTCGACGTTCAGATGGTCAACCTTTGACCATTGCTAGCATCTCTGATCATCTTAAAGGATGGAAGGAGAAAATTAAAAAGGAGCCTCCAGCTGCTAAACTGAATTCTATAATAGATTTATATCAAATAACTAGAATACTAATTAAAGTATAAAATAACATTAGAAACAACAGGAAATAAACAGAAGGGGAGAGCAAGCAGTTATCCTTTTTTGGAACACTTTCTGGCTCTTTGGATCGACGCAGCCCAGTATGCTAAAGTTTAGGTTACAGACGACATAATTAGGGCTCAAGCAAGAATGATCCAGGAAGAGCTAGTGTGTTAAGAGTCCTACTGTGCACAAGAGTGCGACAGGTAACGATTTTTAATTCATAGCGAGGTAATAGTTCTTAGGCCATTGTCTATGCGATACTGATAGTCAAGTCCTTTTGACTTCTATCTTATCACGCCTATTCCTCTAATCTTCTTAAGTTCTTACTTAGGACATAATTGTTCAACCTGGGATGAGAGATAGTTTTCTCGTGTGGGAGGAAAGACAATTCTCAGGTTTCTTAAGATAAATCTTAAAGAGCGTAAAGGTAGGTTTTATTGATAAAATATAAAGATAGGAAATAAACTAGAAGAACGTATGAAGAGCTAATGCTCGGGGTCCTAGTAACTCTTTATATAGTAGCTCTTCACCTGGCGTGACTCATGCCTTGCGTCATGCAAACCCTGTGATTTATAATCATGAGTCATGTGAAATCTGTTACACATAAAAGCGTAAATGGTGCAGCACGTGACTAAATGCATAAGGTCACATGTTCAACTCCGGGCCCCGCCATAGTTATTGTGACGATATCATATGATCGCACGGAACGATAAGGCATCTATGCAGCCCACTCCACAGAGATACGTGGCATGCGACCGAGGGGTTTTCGCTAGATAACATAGAAGGAGCTCTGCTCTACAAGATAAGACTTAGTTGAACCAGATTGGTCAGTTAGTTATTGAGCTACGACCACTGGAAAGTCTTGGTGTTGCTATTCTGAGAAGTAGCCGCACCATCCTCTGCTCGCGTAAACTAGGGTCATCCGGAGACTAGTTTACGATTGGTTAATAACAACTCAATAGTCGAGTTAGTTATCTTCATCATGCACTCTAAGATATATGAGTTATTGATAAGTCCTTTGACGGAGCTGATCACTCCACTTAGGAAGAGAGCAAGGAAGTTAGTTTTCAGGGTCAAACGGGGTTCGCACTCCTTAGACACTGAATCGTTAGTATGACAGGTACATAGTCAGTAAGAGATTGTATGTAGGCCGCAACCACCCAGACACAAACTATAAATATCAAGGTGCCTCCCTAGCTTTAAAGTCTATCATCAGTAACCGGAGAAGAGATCTTATCAATATATTCGTTCTAACTTACTTCTATCTTTATGAGCCTTCTTGACTATCTCCGAGACAGAAGACTATAGGGCCTAGTGTACACTCACTTGACTTTAGAGTTACCTACCCCCTAACAAAATCCATCAGCCAACTCCTATGAGTCACTGCGCAACATGCCTAAAACCAATCAAAACATAATAACTAAATCAGGTGCGCAACTCGCGTCACCTGAGTAAAACCCATGACTCATAATCTGAGTCATGTGCGAAAATCATAATATCGTATGACTCACAATTGTGAGTCACAAACAGGTAAACATAATAACCTATGGCACACTGGTGTGCGTCATGTGAGATCCCAATATACCTATAGCTTGGAATTCCAAGCTATGTGAAATCTGCCTTGCTTAGTCACCATTTGTGACATAGTGAGAGCTAATGTTGATGAGCCATATGACAGGTTCAAGATGTGAAATGGTTGGCTTCAATGATTCAAAAATCGGTACAGCATCGATAGACTACAAACACATGGGCAATCTAACGATATCAATCAATCAGCTCTACTAGCCCAGCACCGGCATCTCAAACAAAAACTAGCCACATTTTCACCTGAGGACCACTACAATTGCGATGAAAGTGGTCTTGTTTTTAACAAGCAGCCACAGTCCTCAAATTTCCAACTAGATAAAGATAAACAGTTAAGAGGAGGAAAGGAGGGTAAGATTAGAATAACTACTTTTCATATAGTTAATGTGACAGGAACAGATAAACGCAAGATTTAGGTTATTGAACGTATAGCAAAACCTATGCCTTTTGGTCAAAATTGCATCAATCCAGCTAACTTGCCGGTCATTTATCGTCACAACAAAAAGGGCCTGGCTATTAACTAGACTCTGGTACAAATTTCTTAGGAAATTGAACGATGAAATGCCAATCGCTTGGCAGCATATAGCACTTGTGACCGACAACTGCCCTACTCATCTGCAACCTACTTCAGTACTAATTGACTACAAAGGACCTCCGCCTCCTATTCTCAGTCATGTTACTTTAGTTTACCTACCGCCCAATACCACATCCTTTTTGCAGCCATTGGATGCTGGGATTATTGCCTTCCTCAAGGCAGCCTATCAAAGACGTTATGCTCAATTCATGGTTGAGTATTTTAATTCCTATGGAAAAGCACCTTTGAAGATTGATATTTTACAGGCAATTTACCTAATTGCGGATTCTTGGGATGCTGTCACAGAGGACATGATTGTTTACTACTGGAAAAAAGCGGTGATTACTGTGTTCTCCAAAGGTAGCGCTGGGCTTTCTACTTAAATTAATTGTAATACACCATCCCCGATTGAATACTTCATTAGCCTTGAACAGCACGAATGCTAACAAGCTCTGAGTCTATTAAGAGAGCAAGGAGTTGACCAGATTGAGTGCCTTGAAGATTTCCTCAATGATGAGGAGAGATTGGATTCACCTTTGAATAGTTTTTTTTTCAGATGTCCATGCTATTGTCCATGATGGTGTTGTTGAAGAAATCTTATTACGCACATTGGAGAGCTTAGATCAGAGTGAGCCAGAAAGTGACAGTGATGATATTTCCACACTTCCCGTAATTGGAATGGAGACTGCCGCGCATTACAGCTTTGAGCTTCAACGTCTTCTTCAAACTCTTCCGGTTACTCACCTACCTCTTCTTGGCCATAATAGCCTCTCTGTGGAAGAACTGATATCATCCACCTACAAGCTTCATTCTGCCCTTCTTCAGTATTCTCTTATTTATCCTACATCTCTTCAGATCTGATTTCTAATAAATTACAGTTACTGGAATACTCGGCAAACTCAGCAGACAACAATTCACCAATTCTTTCGTCCCACTGTTCCAGCCTCCAACCAACCCCACTCCCATGATATTAGATCTCGGGAGCTAGGACCACGGGGACAAGGGAGAGCACTTGCAGTTATGGTAATGGGAGAAGAGGAGGAACCAATTCTCTATATTGGTACAAGCGGTGAGGAAGAGGAGGATGAAGAACATGCTACCTGTAGACCTACAAAGTGGAAGGCAGGGGGAGTCAATTCTGCATATGAATATTTATTGAATTAAGCCTTCTCAAGAGAATGCGAATAAAAGATCTTAATTTTTTCTGGAAAATTTCCATTTTATTCATGATACCTCGTTGTTCCGGACACCCCGTTGTCCTGTATGAAATCCGTGAAATTTGGCCATCCGGGATAGCGAGGTGCCACTGTACTTTACTACTGTACGGTACTATAGTGCAAGGGAAGGGGTATTCGGCGGAGCGTGATTGTGATCTGAAATCGCGATGAATGATCACGTCTTGGCAAATTTAATTTGGATGATTACGATTACCGTATGATACAGCTAATTATCGTTAAATTAATAATCCGAGGTATGATATCATAAACTTGGTCGCAAATTACGGAATCGTGATTTCAAAGCGAGATCGTGGGCTGCCCGATACCACCTAAACTTCCATGTGTACTGTACCATCATACTCCCGTTATTGAAAGTTCAGAGCTCTTATTAACTTTAAGTCTAATGTTTGTGGTTTATACCTTGCTCCCAAGAGCTGCTCCATAACTCCATGTTCTGTTATTATTATTTTAGATACTAATTGTCCCGAGTTAGCATGCCCTCCACAAGTAATTTTTCTTATTCCGACTTGATACCATCCGGAGCGCTGGTGATGGGACAATAACTTGGCTTTTGCCAGACCCTGTTGCTATGCACGCGTATAATCACCCCCAGGACACGACTGTATGCTGCTGTACTCGTACATTTCATGTTTTGAGAGCAGAGTGACAGGTTGTCATCATGGCATTTCGTTCAATACCCAAAACCATCCCATCTCTAGCCTTACCCTTCCTGCGCTCCCCAATCCCTCCACTCTCCCCCCCATAGGCTAAAAATTGCCAATATCCAGTCCGATTCCCATCTATTGATATCCACCGAATCCAGCGCCAAACCAGCCCAAACCAGAAAACCAAAATTGCAAGAATACCCCGGGACCATTCAGCCAACCCAAAAACTTCCACGAAAAAGAAAAGAGAGAAAGAAGAAAAAAATCCACCACCTAAACGACTAAATAAAGACTACACAGCAAGCTCGGCGTGGTGTACACCCCCAACCAAAAGAGCACATTCCCAAGAGTCTCCCGCCCCTTCAGCCATCCCGTGCGACTGGCCTTCACGAGCGGAATCTGCAGCATCATCATAACGAACAAATACCCGCGCAGGCGCTTGAACAGACTCCACATTACCAATTCGTGCACAAGGGCACTAAGCAGGAAGGTTATCACGGTGGCGGTCCCACGGGAAACATGCCAGCTGGAGATGCAACTATGGTAGACGTGCCGGTGGAGGAAGTTGTGCACCGGCGTATTCCAGTCACGGGCGAAGGTGGCCCAGGTCGCGGAATTCCACCAGGGGCCGTAGAAGCCGTGGTCGGCAAAGAACGTGAGTTCGGCCAGGACGTTCAGGATGAGTTCCCAGATGAGGTACCACACCATCAGGTACTCTAACATGAAGGGGAAGACGAGGTCCAAGATGATGTACGGGAAGGCTTGCAGGCGAGAGGAGAGCGGTAGAAGGCGCAGGGCGTGGGTCTGCAAGACGACGGGAAGGATGAGGTGTTGAGAAACCACAATCATTACGCCCAGGACGCCGAAGGTTGCTGTGATCTTCTCCACCACATAGCGCCAGTTTATGCTGGTCGTGCGGGGGTATGCGAGTTCGTAGACGACGCTGTTCCCGTTAATTTCCGGATGAACGAATGGATTTTCGAAGAGGGGACATACGTTGGAAAGTGAATGTACTCAAAATAATTCCACCACGTCAAGTTCTGCGGATATACCACTTCCGGCCCATCGCCACCCTCCACATGGCTGCTCAACTCGCCATCACAGGCAGCAACTTCCTCCATAATCGCCTTCTCAAAGTCCTCCACTTGCGCGCTGCCCAATTCCTCCTTCTCCTCCGACCCCGCCCTAGTATCGACCCCGGAGTCTACACTCCCAGCCCTGACAAGGTGTCGCGCATTCGGCTCACTCGTATCCAAGGCTCGCAACTCCTCCAATTTCCTCTCGAGGGATTGCAGCCGCTTGTACACCCCGCTCAAATGCCCGTTATAGAAGGCGTACGAGTGTTGCTTCATGAGCGATGCTAGACAATGCAACACTATGAAAACCGTCTGAATCCACGGCCAGTCCCTCCAGAGGGTATATTCAATCACGACGCCGAGGTATGCCGCTTCCCAGACCATCTGTAGCATCCACCCGGTGCGCTCCCAGGATAGCCTGCCCTTCGCGATGGCTTTTTGTAAAGGGACGCACCAGAGCGTTGAGCCCCAGAACATGGTTGCGTCAACTAAGAGACAGTCTATGAGGTTGTCTGGATTGAACATTATTGAGAGGATGTCTATTCCGAAGAGGCGGCCATGTTCCTTGTAGGATGTTGCGGCGAGTTTTAGTATTAGGATTACCACCGACACCCTATTACTAGTTAGCTTCTTTGTGATGTGTATCCCAGGGGGTGGAGTGAGCCACCAGAACACAGTGTAAAACCCGCGAAAGGTAGAAGAAGCGGCCTCCGGACTTCTGTGGTCGAACACGGTGAACCTTTTCGTAAAAACCAGCTATCGAACACAACTTAGTCCTCACCCCATACAGCAGGAATAAGTATAAGAGAAAAGGCTCAACTTAAATCCCGAACATACATCGTTAAACTTCTTCTTCCTCTTCCCACCCGAAACCCCATCACCACCCGCCAGCAACTTCCTCAGTTCATCGTCTATCACCAATCTATACTTTTCCCTTCCTCGAATCTTCTCTAACCGCACGGGTACGGATGCCCGACGCTTAGCCTTTTCCTGAAACCTCCTCTCGCCATGCTCCCCTCCAAGGCCGAACCCCACCACGGGTCCCTCCGTAGAATTCGCCGATAGTTGAGCGTCGTCAAGGTCACCGGCAGGCGATGCACTCTCCGGGCTCGGTGGATCGGAGGAAAATGCCGTTCGTAATTCGCCGAGTAAGAACGTGTAAGTCTCGGGGGACGAAGTGATGTTATTGTTTGTCGATGGGGCTCTTTGCGACATGGTCGACTTGGTGAACTGTACCATTCCGCCGTGGCACACCTAAATTATCAAGCAGAACCGGGGGGAAACAAAGGATGAGAGAAGAAGTTGTTCAATGGGAACTTGAGAGAGGTGGAGAAGAACAACTGTAGACCCCGAGGTTCCAGTTAAAGCAGCTCATCAAGCCCGGTAGGCAACATGGAACTGAGTAACACCGATAATCATAAATCCACCCAACCAATGTCATTAACCGGGACCACTTTGGCCCCGCTCCCGTTCCCACAGCACCCTCTGGATTCCGTGGTAGAAAAGTAGTCACTCTTCCCCGTTCCTTGCGCCCATCCTCGCCTGAAGGATGCATTAGTGATCCGATAGCGTAAGCCAAGTTTTTCCGCGCTAAAACTCCCACAATTACCACTCTCCATCCACAAAACTTTCAAGGTATTCTTACCGTACTTCCTCCATGCTCTTCCAAGGGCCGGAAGTTTCCGCCATGGAGATACCGATATTTTAGCTTCCGGATAAGACGGTGCCTTGGCCCGACCGTCGATTCCTCGCCTGAGCCTCAGATTAGATCGGCGCCCGGGCAATACCGGTAACTCGACCCGGTCAAGAGTAGTAACCCTAACCCTCCGGACAAAAGAACTCTGATAAGAGATTTTTTCCCTGATTAATAAGCATTGACGGACCTACCGGTATTACGGCAAGATGCTCCGTATCAGTCTGGCTGTGATAGCTACAAACAAATCTGACTGAAAACTCCACATCTATCAAGCCCATATAGCCAGGAGGATAAACGTTGATGCTGCTGAAGCGAAATAGTAGCTCGCTGGTCCAGCAATCACTATTTTCGTTCTTGTTTCCGCGCCGCTGTAGGCTTTTGCTTATGTTTGTACGACAAGTTAGTCTGCTGGGCCAGAAACCCTAGCGTCACAATTAGTCACTCGGTTTTTGTCCTCTCGCCTCAACCGCACTCTTCTCTACCGCCGGGCACCTGCCAAGTTCAGGCTCAGTTTCGTGTCTGAAAGCGTATGATCCGAATTGTATCCGTTCAGGTTTTCACAACCCGCAATACAGTGCGCTTTGCCCAGCTAAGCGTCGGTCACCCTCGTAGCGTGCTCAGTCCCATGAAAGTTGGCGTTCGCCTAGCGTTAGCCCCCACCATTTCAACGTTCCGCCCGACCGGTATGCCAGTTACCAAAAAGCAGCTCTCAAAACAAGTTCCAGCGCTCTCACCATTTCAAAATCCCCACAGATCAATCCTTACCCCAATGCCCATGCTCCCCCCAGGCCACTAGCCAATGCCCATCACTCGATCCATTGCCCAAGCAGCAGAGACATTCGACTCCAGATTGGTCTCGTCGAGAGTCAGTGTCCGGAATCACCCCTTTATATCACACTCCAGGTAAGCTACAGAAAATTCACCAAGGCCGCGCGGCCACTCCCATGCAAGCATTGGATGGAAGTTGCACAAATACCGTTCGGGGGGCCGTCCGATGCGTGCTACGGCCTAACCTAGGTTACGATCGTAAGCCGGCTCTAGATGATGGGGCTGTGCAGGAGGCTTATTCAGCTAGGTGCCGCTTGTGCCCCCAGCAGCACTAGGTTTGTAAAACTGATTGCTACCGGCATGCACACCACGAAACCCTAAGACTCTAGCCACTTTTCATCTGTATGCAATACAGGTGGCAGTCCATTCTGCAAACACCACGACATTCCGAGCAGGTGTATGCGCATGACAACCCGATGAATCAATGTCTAGAGAGGTGGCCCTCGCGATGGGGGAGCGTCGGGGGGGGGGGGGTATTGGTCGAGGCTCCAGTTCTGGCTTCTAGAGGTAATCTGCTCTATTCCGCCTAGTATATCGTTTAAGTAAAAATTTCTCTGGTTGGAATGGGTTTACCCTCTTTAACCTGGCTTGCCAAACCGTAGGATTCCCGAATCAAGGCACCCCCACCCGAAACAGTCCACAGGTGTATGGAACCCTAGACGATCCTATGATTTCCATCCGAGCCCTGAATATGGCGAAAGCATTATCCCAAGAATCCCATACTTGAGAAATCGAGTGCCCCGGCACCCGGATGTTTGAAATGCCCAAGCCCAGGGTCAGAACATGATTCAAATGGAACTTGTAAAACACTCCCCCGAAATTGGTCGGACTTGAAGCATCGTAAGGGTCTAGAGGAGAAGCATGGAAAAGATTAGAGGGGCGAAATTCAAAGAGAGGCCCCTGGGGTCCGTGTAGCAATTCCAAAGAAAAGAAAAGGCTGAAGCACTAAGCCAAGCGTATAGGACGAAGCAAACTTCGGGACCGCAAACACCATGATGACGCCGGCCAGATATCTCAAACTCCTCGACTGTGATGGCGATGGCGACTACTCAATTTTTCTCCCCACACCGGAGGAAACGCCGTCCTCTGACTCTACTCTGATATCCTCAGATGATGATATCTGCAGTATTTGTGAATTGATATGACTGCTGACGAGAAAAGAAGCTTGATTTTCTTACCACCTGCGCAGCAGTGGGCTTTTATGGTAACTAACTATCAAGTGAAAGAAAAGAAATAACAAAGGCCCGAGGTCGGTAAAATGAGGACCTCGGAGGAAGGAATTTAACGAAACCTCGGTGAGGTAGAAAAAACATATGAGAACCTCGGAATACCATAGTTGAATATGGCATGGTTGTGCGGTTGTGAAACGAATAGAGAAGAAATGAGGAAAAACTCAAACAGTAACTAACGTTGAAGAGAGTGGTGAGGAAGTACTAGGAGAAACTAACTAAAAAGGAAACTAGTCTGTTTGACGGATAAGCACTAAACTCAACAGTATTCTCGAGTGATATTACATGATCCAATCCAATCCAAATATTGAATCCTGGAACTTCGTTAGCTGTCTAGCTCCTCGCAACCAGATAGACAGGAGAGATTGGCCGGATATCCAGTCGAGAGGGAGAGTGAACTTACTCAGTGCTCTGCGACGTTATGGTTTTACTTGAGTACCGGTAATAGGCATAAGTTGGTCGCCATCCCTCCATACCGATAATGACCTGTCTAATACGGCTAAGAAACAGATGATCGAATCTCCCCGACCCAATCCGTAGATACTGTAATACCGATACCGGTACGGGTACTCAGCGAGAAGTGATCCATCCTTAGACACGGTATGATTCTCATCCAGTGTAATAAAACTCAGGTACCAGTACCGTATAATAGTGCACACTCATCCCTCCTCCCTCTTACTCAAACAACTCCTGTCCACCCCTCTGCCAACCCCTCAACCCTACGTGTACTCGAGTAATGACCTGAGACCGGTACTGCACCGTACCACACTAAGTTCACCCTCCCCTCCCACCCGTTCCGAAACTCTATTCCCCCCCCCTTGCGCTTCAACCAGCCAACTAGCCAACCACTGAGGCTTGACTCCAAACACCGCAACGCATTAAAGTTCTCACACCCACCCACCCATCCAAATCCCACGACACGACAACGCGTGGGACTTTTGTTTGCCGCTGTCCCGCACTGCGCGTGTAACCGGTAATCTACGATGCGCCGTGCGAAGCGAAGGGATCTTGTGCGATCGGAGCGGCATGATAACGCGTAATACGGTACTAGACTGCACTGCCAGGAGGACGCTGCTTAAATGCACTTTCATCGTGGGTTCTTTAGGGGGGTGGACGGCACGGTAGGGCTGATGTTTTACAGGGTCTGGACTGCCCGGGATGATAATCCGCTAGAGCACTGTACCAGCACAGTATGATACCGGCACTACTGTAGACCTACGACGTGTTGGTTTTGGCGGGTGGACCTGTGGGAGGATGGGTCGCGGAGGAGGTGTTATGGCATGAGGGAGTGGCTGGCGACAATACCGAACTATCGTACTATGGAGGGTTGGATAGTATGTTTGGCGGGGTCTGCAAGCTCCAGTCACTTACGGATACATCTACGATACGGTACAAGTGCCGCATTGGACTGTATTAACTCTTGCAACCCGTTATCTCCGTCTGGTCACGAATATCCCTGTCCAGACAAAATGTTTGTACTCGAGTACAGTATGCCAGCTATTCCCTTCCTTTGTGGTACGGTACCGGTACAAGTACCTTGTGCCTTACACAATACCGGTAAACTCCACACCGGTGACACTGCAGCACTGGTACAGCACCTATCTAGACCATATCACACCAGTCTAGACATTCCCCCTCGTCCATAATCCCGCAGTCCAACCACTCGCTTGCGAAAACCCCACTCCAAGTGCCGGTACCCGGACCTGTATTTATTTGCATCCCTAGACGAGCTGCGTCCCTAGGAACTTGTACGAGTACCTGTATAGTTGTACTCGAGTATGAGGCTAATGTTGGGCTGAACAAGGGTTTGTGTCAAGGCCTTCAAGCCTCGGATAAGATTTAATTTTACCCACAGGAATGATACCGTATCACGAACCCCCCCCTGAGGTAGCCAACAGCTCCCTCCATTCCGCCATTTTTCCAGAGCTTGATCGTGCAAAAGCGTTCACCGGGAGGTCATACCGTACGGTACTGGGATTTTCGCTTTGAAGAATCAGGTATCCAGTGGATTTCTCAAGTTCAGTGGCTCGCCAAGCGCTAATTAAACAAAGCTCTGGAAAAGAAGGAAAGAAGGAAAAGGGCTCTTGACCCTTTTGTCCAGGGAGCTTTTTCTCGCAACCTTTAAGAAATCCACAACATGGAACGTTAAGAATGTTTAGGTTGTCTGAATCCCTTGTTCTTCTCATCACTACGGTACGAGTAGCCTCCTTGCCCAAGTGCCCGTACCCTCCTACCGCCGATCAACTAAAACCACGGTCTGATGCTGTGCTTGTACTCGTACCCCACTAACGACCTGAACAGATCGGCCCCAAACTCCTGCCATATGGTACTTGTACAAGTACCGTGGTTAAGTGCTGGCAAGAATTCACCGTGAGGTTGGTCATTCTTTCCCCATCTCCCATGATACTCGCACCGCACGCAATCCAGCACAGTATGGCAGGCGTGAACTCGGCATCGGGAACACTCAAATAAGCAGAAAGACTTCATACCGCCTACTACCCAAGTCTCCAATTGCCCACGTTCATACCGGTTCTCGTACAGCATGACACCGAATCCCCAACGTGCGCAGCGAGCGGAAGAACCGATACCGCACCGGCTGACTCTAGCCTTACCGACTGGGGCACGGCAGCGAAGGGAGCTGAATTGTTGTCCAGACTCCGTCCCATGCCGTACCAGTATATCGATGGGGTAACTGCTGGCGCTGCACACTGAACTGGCGCAGCATCATACTCAAGGAGTCAACGGGGCGGGTAGGAGAAGGTGCGATGCGTTTCGTGGGTTTGATTCGAGTCCTTCAAGACGATCTTCTTCTCACTTCCCTCTTCTTTTCCTCCCCAGCTGCGATACCGTAGTATGCTCAAACCCTGCCGTCCCGGATCCCGATAATACGGATACCTCGCCCTCCCGTGTGAAATGTTGTGAATCCAAAGGATTTCCACAGCAAAACTTGACCCGCTGTGCCGGACAGATTCTTCAGGTTTTGGCCGTCTGGGATATCGGGGTGTGGGTGAATAGCGCAAGTACTAGTACAGTATAATAATGCATGTCATGGACTTCACTCCGGCCAAAGGTGTTTGCACTCGATCATCACACCTTCTGTCCGGAATCGCAGGACCTACCCTAAAACAAGGCAGCACTGCAGTACTAGCACTTGTGTGCGGTACTCAAACTGATACAGGTGCCGCGGATAGATAGATAAGTAGATAGATACGATGTATATGGAAAAACACAGATTCCCTTTGCACTTTGAAATCACTGTACCGTACATAACCTCCTTCACTCTACCCTTACAATTGACCAAACAATCCCATCTCCAAGGACAATCCGAGTGAACCCTCATGACAGTCTTTACTTGTTGCCTTCTATGATACTCCTACACTATGAACACCCTAGCAACCAAAAAAGAAAAGAAAAAGAACCCCAAAACAAATAAACAAATAAACAAACAAACAAACAAACCCCCTTACCTACCCGTCATTACCTCGGGGGGGTCAAGCCAAGCCCAACCCGCCGCCCAAACCGCCACAGCCAAGCACGGCAATCACCAGAAAAAAAGAACCCCCCCTAGATGGAAAGAAGCAAATAAACCAACACGGACCCAATCAGCGCTTGACGAGATCTTTTAATATTCCTCGGGTAATCTGCGAGGAGGAAAAAGTGAAAGAAAAGAAAAAAACAATTTCCAAGAGGATGAGATTTTACTCGCCAAAATCAAAAGTCTGTCCCCGACCTTTACCTAAGCGCTGGTTTTCAGGTACTGGTACTTGAGTACTTTACTTGGCTTATTGCAACGGGTGGCGC